CCAGGGAACACCAGTGCTATAGTAGTCAGCATAACTGTCCCCTGAAAACAAAAGTTAACAGCAAAACTGCCTCACTGAGATTCCACTGTATCCCAGCATCAGCATAGTGGCTCAGAGGCTCGACATAAGGCTAGGAAGGAGGCGCACACTGTCAAAGGGAAGTATAGCTTTGGAGGAAGAGAAGAGGTAGAGGAGCTGGCAAGATGGCTCAGTGCTTAAAAATACACAGTGCTGTTCTAGAGGACCTGAGTTCAACATCCAGATTTGGTGGCTCACAACTGACTGTATCTCCAGGTTCAGAGGCATTACCTCGGGCTTTCATGAGCATCTGCACCACACACACACACACACCCCACATACATGCACGCACACACACATATACACACATACCACATGCATGCACACGCGTGCACACACACCACATGCATGCACGCACACACACGCACGTACTCACGTGCACACATGTGCAATTCAAAAATAAAATAAATATTTAAAAATATTTTTTAAAAGACTCAGGAGACAGAAGCAGGCTATCTCTGTGAGTTTAAGGCCAGCCTGGTTTACATAGCGACCTCCAGGCCAGGCAGGTGTACAGAGTGAGACCTTATGGAATGAACTAACAGATGAATAAATGAATGGATACATAATGATATAGGATATCTAACTCATTGGAGCTATTTCGAGAAACAGGAAGAAAGCCTTCCCAGATGAGACATGGATTCTAGAGTACTTGCTTTGTGAAGTGGACAGTGCCTAAGTACATGGAAGGGGCGTGTTCCCAAAAAACTTAACACCACATGTGAACTTTGAGTTCAGAGAGGGTGGCAAAAGCTGGTTTTCTGGCTCCATTGGTCCCATCTGCTGAACCACCATGACTCTCCAGATCTGAGAACTACACTAATAGTGATGGGAGACAGAAACAAAACAAAACAAAAAACCTTAAAAACCTAGGATTGACCAGGAACCTTAAGACTTGATATAAAATTTATGATTAATACATCCAGTTTAAGCTCTTAGGAAAACATCAGGGGAACAGGAATATAAGTCGAGTGAGGTGCATACTTTGCAATCATGATGACCTAATTTGATCCTGGAACTCTAGTTAAAATAAAAATCTAGGCTTCCTGGCATGTGCTTAGAATTCCTGAAGCAGAGAAGAGACAAGTGACTCCCCGGGATTTACTAGCAGGCTACCCTTGGTGAAATCCAGGTCACTGGGAGGCCCTGTTTCAAAAGAAAAAAGGTGGGTGGCATCCGGAGTAATAACCCCGAGGTTGTCTCCTAGCGTATGGTGAATACACACACACACACACACACACACACACACACATCACCTTAGGGAATTCCCCATTGTTTAACAATGCTTTGGGTGCTGGCAATTGAGATCTTCAGCCTTAGTGACTTGAAGTGCCGACAGAGGACCGGGATTATACGAAGCACAAAGATAACCAAGTCACAGTCCTGCCTTGAAGGAGCTCAGTGCCTAGCAAACAGAGATGGACGACCTAACCCGCTGACATCTCAGTTATGTGCTCAGAAACCAGTTGCAGAATGGACCTAAAGAAGAAACTTTGTGACTCGGGCTCTACTGAGTAGTTCATTTTTCTCACCTTCCAAGTTTTGCTTAAAGTAAATCATGTCTAATCTTGTTTACTTTCCCTCGGACCCGAAGGATATGAAATATTTTGGAAAATAAAATGCTTGGGCAACTTTAAGGCATTTTTCAAAAACGCTGTGGTTTTCACTTTCTATTTCCTTATGGCTTAGAAAACAAATACTTGTGTGGAAATCCAGGCCAATAACTTGTATGGCTCTCTCTTAAAATATGAGTCGACAGTAAGGAAAAATCTTGATTTTCTCTATAGGTAACTGGGGCCTGTGTGAGTAGTTACTGGGTTTGTGGCAGAGCGGGAAGGGAAAAGAAACTCTGACACTACTCACTGTCCTGCCTATCCAGGACACAAGAGCTCCTCGTAGACTCTATGAGGAAGGACAAGAGCTCCTTAAAGAATCTATGAGGAAGAAATGGGCTGGTGTGGCCCCATGAGAGAAGATCATGTTGGTGAGAACTGGCTTGCTACCAAAAAAAATTTTAAAAAAGAAGGAACATTCTGGAGGCTATCTGGCTGTGGGAAGGGAATAAATTTTTGGAAGGGCCTGTATCCAAAAGTCTTTTCTAAAAAGTTGTCATAGAACTTTATACTGTCTGAGAGTCCTTAAGGGGTTTTTTCCCACCCTCTCCTGTCAAAATTCTAGTGCCCTTAGCTTTCATAGCCTTTTGTTGTTGTTGTTGTTGTTGTTATTGTCAGTCAACAACTAAGCCCCATTTCTTCCTTGTGGCAGCAACTCATAAGGCAAAGCTGTGTGGAGGAAGGTAGTAGGTGCTCCTGGCTGGATGAAAGTGTACTGAGAAGGAAGGGTGAATGAGGCCTGAGAAAACACGCATTGCTTCACACATGTGTGCGAGATGGCTTTGTATCTATGCAGCAGACATCCTCACCACGTCACACCTTGCTAATTAACCAAGGAGCCATTTGCAATCATACCCCGTAGCGAAGGGAAAATTGGCTTTCTCCAGTGGAATGTCACTGGGTGTATCAGCCATACTCCAGAAACGACCACGTGCCCAGTAGTTGGCCAACACAAAAAGAAGCCCATGTTGTATTTTAATTGTGGTTTTCTAATTTTGTTTTTTGTGGACCGTGTTTTCTGTTCTTGTCTTACTGGTGTTTGTTTGTTTTTCTTGTTTCATTCATCCATTTGTTATTTAGAGAGAATGAGAGAGTCAGAGAGGAAAGAGGAAAACAAGAAATTGGGTAGGTAAGACAGTGGGGAAGATCTGAGAGAAGTTGGAGAAGGGGGAAAACGTGATCAACGTCTACTGTATGAAAATTTAAATATGAAGGATTTCGCTGAAGTACCTCTACTTTTCAGCTGCTTATTGGCAAGAAGGGAAAAACTATACACATGTGCTCATTCATGCTGTAATAAATACTTGCTGAGTGATCTCTGGTGTCTTCCCAGGGCAGCAACACAGCCAGTTCACCATTGTACCACAGGCAGCAAGGGGCAGAGTGGAATTTAAGCCTAGTTCAATTCTCCTTTGCTGTTCAGAGCATTTGTTCACTTTCCTTCCTTCCTTCCTTCCTTCCTTCCTTCCTTCCTTCCTTCCTTCCTTCCTTCCTCTCTCCCTTCCCCTTCCTTCTTCCCCTCCTTTCTCTCTCTCTCTCTCTCTCTCTCTCTCTCTCTCTCTTCACCATCTCTCTTTTAACTACACATTATTGGTATGTTGGATATTCTTTGAGTCAAATTTTCCCAGAATAATCCCAAGGGGAGCGTTAATCATCACTTTTCCAGATGAGACATGAAGGCACAAACAGATCAAGCTAGAGGCCAGGGCTGTGAAACCAGACAGCAGAGCCAGGTGCTGACACAGGTAAGCCCCACCCTCAGCTTTCTCTCGGACACAGAGGACTGTTTCTCAGACAAGGGACCGTTCTGCCTCAGTGTCTGTCTATGCTGCTGACTGTAACTGCTCTGGACACACCAGGAGCTGCTCATTGACTTGCTGTGGGTCTCAGCACAAGCGTGAGAAAGACATTCTTTGACTGTGGTGTTGGAGCCCTGTGCAAGTCAGTCACGGAGATAAGCTTGGCCGTTGCACGGTGCTCTCAAGGAGAGCAGTTTAGTGTTGGGAATACTGCACATTGTGTCTGGTATTGAGTTCCTGTGATAGCATTCCCTCAACTGTTCCAGAACGATGTGGAGTTTATAGATGACTAATAGGAACAAGAGCGACGGGAAACATCTTGCTGGTTCAGACTTCCAATTTTTTCTAATGAACAGACACTCAAAGAAAAGTATCCAAACACGAACATGGCCATCCCCCATCCAGCGGAAAAGCAAGCCAGTGACAGGATGTGGGGTATCTTAGCAGAGTGTCTCATAACTCTGGTCCTCACTGGGTGTAAATCATTCTCCAATCTCAGATTGGGCATAAATCATTCTACATGCACAGTGCGCACTAAACGTTATTGTGTTATTGAGACATAAATCCTGTGTCAGCTCTGTGAAGTGTCTGCGGCCATGGCGTTAAACAAGGCAAAGCAGCTACTTAACGATTTCCAAACATTTGATTATTGAAGTTCAAACAAGAGGTCTGAGAGCAGAGCCTTGTTAAAATAGACTTGAAGCCAGAGCTCACACTCCTTCAGTGAGCAATAGCCAGGATGACTACCCCAGCTCTGAGTTCCACATCTGGAGAAGGCACTGGAACGAGCGACCTTTCTCAAACAGAAGAAGTCTTCCAGAGTTTGGGGAGCCCCTCTCCCCTATGTAGACTTTCATTCTAAGAGATGCAGACTGATACCAGGTCTGCCATCTCGATTTTAACCTGTCTCTAGAAATACCTGTACCCTGCTCAACAGATGTGATTTCAGCCACACACTCCAGGCTTAGTGTGGTAAGTTAAGCAAGTATCTAACAGCTAGATGCTTTCTTAGAGCTTCTGAGAGCATCTGCCAGATGCTTGACTGGCATCCTTGTCCCCTAGCTCTTTGCATCTTCCCAGAAAGACTGGAACGACTGAAGAACTTTCCTAATGTGTGCGTTCATACCACAGAGTTATTTAAATCTCTTTCTCTCCTCTGAGGACAACGGAGCTATTCCTCGTTCTATCCAAGATGACTCATAGCATCTTTCCCAAGTCTCAGCCTTTTATCTTCTCTTTTCTCTCCCCTCAGGAACTTTATTCTATATAAAAATTCCCTCTTGTTCTATTTTTTTTAGTGGTTGTTCCACACTAGCGTTTAAACAAATTTTCCTACTGTTCCTACTTAATTTTACTTGTGTTTTTGAGACAGTCTGATTCTGTAGCCCAAACTTCTCTAGAACTTCTATACATCCCAAGCTAGCTTTGAACTTGCAGCAATCCTCCTGCTTCAGCTTCTCAAATAAATACTAAGATTAAAGGCAAGTCACCACGCTCAGCTTTACGATTTTAAATTTTATTCATTTTTGTTGCTTATTAATTTTGTGTGTTTAAAATTTTTTCTTTTCTTTTAATTTTTGTATACCAAGGAGGTTCAAACTTGAAATGTAGCTGAGGATGATCTTTTCGTCTCTGTCCCCCTTGCCTCCACTTTGTGAGTGCTGGGATTACCAAGTTTACACAGTTCCAAGGATCAAGTCCAGGACTGCAGGAATACTAGACAAATGTTCTACCACCTGGGCCATTTCCCCACACATTCTCTACCACAGTTAAATAAACAAATAAACGTTTGTCAACTCCACCCTCAGCAGCCACTGTTCCTATCTTTGCTGACTATCTGTATAAGTGGTACTCATCCACTTCTCCATCCACAGGTCCGTTTCCAGCCTGTGGCTGTCAGGCTTCTGCTCCCAGCCTTTCCTCTGGAACTCCTCTTGCCAGCCACTCAGTGGGTCAAAAGTCTTTAGCTCTAAATAACAGAAACACAACTCAACCCATGTTAAATGATAAGACTTGGGGCTGACTGGATTGGAAAAGCTGGCCTGGAGCCATAGCCAGTCACTGCCCAGCGTGGTGGCTCCCATTTTGTGCTTACCCCATAGTCCCCTGGCAGGGTGCAGCATGCTGTGGTCCACCCTGGTTTTTTCTTTGTCTTTTCAAGGCAGGGTTTCATTGTAGCTTTGAAACCTGTTCTGGAGCTAGCTCTTGTAGATCAGGCTGGCCTCAAACTCTTGGACATCTGCCTGCCTCTGCCTCCCAAGTGCTGGGATTAAAGGTGTGTGCCACCACCACCTGGCTTGGTTCAGGTTTTGCCCAGATGATGATGTTACGGAGCATCATTCTTTCTTTTCCTTTTGGAAATGGCAAATTTTTCTAGAACACTCTGACGTTTTCTTGGTGTGGACTGCATGCCTCCTGGGCACTTGGGAAGCAACCCTAACAGTCCCAATCCCCCACCCTGCCGTCTTCTCTGAACCCCTTTCCCAGGGCAGCACTCCCCTCGCTCCACTTACCTTCTTCCACTTAGGTCATTTTTTTCTGACTGGGGTGTCTAGTGTTGTCACCATCTGATCCACTTAGAGCCATGCGTTTTGTGTTTGTTAAGATCTGATTAGGTGAAAGAAAAGATTGAAATGAACAATTTAGGAACTTCTCTTTCTTGTGAAAGAGTCCTGCAGTGAAGTGGTCCAGAGCGCTGGAGAGCCTGGGAAAGGGTTCGGTTCCTTCCGTTTTGGTTGCTGTGCTATCTCTAGCATCAGAGTTTTTCTACATGATCCCAAGTATTTGCTTTGGCCTTGGCAATTTCAACCGTATTGGGTTAGCAGGATGGGGAAAAGGGCAGAAAAAGGAAGGCAGTTTCCACAAGCTAAGTAAGTTCCTCCCAAATCTGGCTCAGTGTGTTTGCTCACACTGTCGTATATCTGAGAAGACAGGAAATGTGGGCTTCCTATGATGCAGCCATGAGTGGAGCTAGAAATCAGACCTTTGACTAAGATGGAAAATCAGAGGATAGTGTGGGACCTGTGGCTTCTGACTCAGCGTCATTTTCCAAAGGAGAAGAACGGTTGATGTTCAACTCAAAGCCCTCCGGTGGCTGAGTCGATGTGATATTCAGGGTTGGTCTTGAACTTCCTAATGTGAATTAATTTCCTATTGCTGTCTGAAGGTTGGACGCTCACCCATGGTTACTTATTCAGGTCATCTCTGTCTCCATTTCTCTCTCCGTCTCTCTGTGTCTTTGTGCCTCTGTCTTTCTGTGTCTCTCTGTCTCCCTCTCTTCCCCACCTCTGTCTCTCCCCTACCCCCTCTCCTCTTTCTTCTCTCCATTCTCTCCCCCTCCTCCTTTTCCCTCCTTTCCCTTACGGCTCATCTACCCTGACTCTCTCTTCTCAAATCTAATCATTGCTTGGTTGTTGGACTTTTTTTTCTTTCAATGCCAAGGCTGAAACCCAGGGCGTCAAACACTGTCACTGAGATATGTCCACAGCTCCAGGTGCTGCTCTCTGTAGGACTCCTGTCTGAACTCACCAAGACAGACTCAGAAGGTTCTCTCCTGTCCACGTACAGCTCCACACCCTCGCCTATATTTTAACACTATGCTGTCATTGCTATTTTTTTCCCTAAATCCTCCTTCTGGGCTGTCGTTCTTTATGCAATGTGAGTAGACACATTTTCTCATTTGACCCTTCGAACCCTACCAGGAAGCAGCCTTCTTTAGTGGTATGGACTGAGATTAAGGAAATGTGTGTGTGACCAAGGCTGTGTTGCTGGTGAGGAGCAGGGACAGGGCTGGGATCTCACTTGGCAATGCTACAGTTTTCTTCCTCCTGTGTTCTGTGCTGTGCTGTGGACTCAGAGCTCCTGCCATTCCTTTGTAACAAACCACATATATGTGTTCCTGAAACCGTCAGCTCTCTCCCTGGTGGTGTGGGTCTTTACTGGGCTGTTCTCCAGTTTCCTATAGGCACAGCAAACTCTCAGGCACACCTTAAGGCTGTCACAAAAAACAAATGATCCCATGGATTCCCTGGCTAACAGCCAGTCTTTCTTTCTCAGGTCCTTGTTGACCTTGTATTTTAGAGGAGACTTAGCTCCCTGTCCCCCAAGAGAATGCCATCAGTGTCAGAAGACACTACAGCCTTTCTATTTCTACAAGCTTGTTTTAAGATGGCCACATAATGCAATTTGACCAAAAGGTTTTGGGAGAAATCTTCCCCGGGGCATCTTGTTTTATGAGGGACATATTAAGAATTGTGTCATTTCAGTCCCAAAATGTTCTCACCAGCATGCTGTCCTTAAATCTACTGTGCCCATCTAGGGTCCAAACGAATGTCACTGTGCTGAGGACAGATGAGCTTGGTTCTCAGTGCCAACCCTGAGTGCTGTGTCACTACCTCAAAGCTGTCCTAACTTAGGACTTGCACTGACGTGAGCATATACAAATACTCATATCCCGAAGAGCTGCAATGTCTCTGCTTCCTGCAAGGAACGAACACCGGCTACCATGCGTGAGGATCAGCATCCCTGCCGAAGATAATAACATGGTGAGTTGGTTTCTTTTAAGTTTGTTATTGAATGAAGCACACAATAAATACCAACATAATAAAATGGATTACACAAAGCTGCATCCAGCTCTGGGGGACGCTAGTCCAAGTGCTAACCCCTCTCCACGCATGCCTTTCCCTTGAAAATATTTAAGACCTTGGAAGATGGCTCTTGGGTCACTGTCTCTTCTGAAACACACACAACTTTCAAATGAAAGCCCGCTGTGCATCAGCTGTTCACACCCCATTTCCTATCTGAACTCTAACTCGTGAGTTTTCTGCCTCCCATCTTCCTCTGGAGAACATGAAATATGTCATCTTTGAAAGTGTTGGCTTGTAGAAGAGAAACCTATCGGTCATGCTTTCAGGTGTAAGCCCTAAATTACACATTTAACATGAAAAATAGTCTCCTGCCTTGTGGGGAGGGACAGGGTACACAGCTTGACGTGTGAACTTCGGATGCCCTGAAGGTTTTGCTTGGCTAAGAAATGACGTGTACTCATATGATATTTTTGCATCTCCTCTGCCTGTAACAACAAGAAATTTCTTGCATGGATGAAAATATCTCAGGTCTGGATCCTAAATACATCCTGGATTGCATTCAATCTCACACCTCCGTCCTGGAGCCATAGTTAATGAAGTCTGTGGAGAAAGAATCGGGAAGACCCTTTTAGAGTGGCTGACATGGCTCCTATGGGATTAGTCACTTTGTGCAGGAGGAGAGGAGAGGCCTAGATTTGTTGGCCTGATTAACTTGGTACAAATGGGGTTTGGTGGGATGCCTAGGGAAGTGGGAAAGGTGAGGAGTTAGAGGCAATGATGCCTATATAGATAAGTGGCATTCTTTTACCTAAATTTTTTCCTTGACTTTAGAATGAAAATAGCAATATTACTGACCTGTACGATAGACGATGTTGTTACAGAGAACCCGGAAGCTGGGTTTCTCAGCTTCAGTTCTTTCTGTCATTCTGAACAAGGTAATTCTTTGTTGTGGCAATAAAATAAAATAAAATTCTCAAAATGTTTAATGTCCTTGTGAGGAAATAGTTCCTGGTTGAGAACCACTGCTGAGAGGGGAGGCTTTTTTCTTTAAATGAGATTATTTTTTCTTCCATCCACATAGCAAGCAGTCAAGGAAAGAGACTCAGGACAGTGTGGTCATTCAAAGATGATTGTAAGGAAGCATGACTTCATGTTTCAGCTCTACTATTCCAGACCCATGATTTTGAGCTATGAAACTTCTGATTATTGAGATTCCAACCACATCTGATTTCCTGTGCAAGAGACTCTGTTCAACTGCTCATGGGGACAGAAATATTGTCACCTCTGTACTCTATCACTTGGTTCAGTACCTGGCATTCATACAAATTTAAGAAGTACAAAACAATGATGAGATACAGGAGACATCAATTATGGTAATTAGCAGAGACATACAAAGCTACTCCTGTGATATTAAAGGAACTGAGTCCCCAAAGATGATAAAAAGCCAAACCGGGAATACAGTAGCCATACCAAAAATCATGCCCTACCAAACTGTTGGGTGGTTTTAATGAAACACCACTGCCAAGCCTGTGGTCACCATCACCATACCTTGTCACGGGATAATGGAGAAGATGTTAGACCTGTTTATTCTTGCAGATGTCACCACCTGGATTGTTACCATGGTGCCCAATTTTCCTTGTACATACATACTTCTACACTGTTCTCTGTAACAGTTAATGTTTATGTTATTTGGCAGACTTACAGGATGCCCAGAGACTTAGTTGACCATTATTTCATGTGTCTGTGATGGTAACTCTGGGTAAATTAGCATGTGAATCAAATAGATTGCTTTCTCCAGTTAAGGTGGCCTCCTTTAATCAGTTCAAAGTCTGGATGGCACAAAGAGATCGGCCCTCCTGGAGACAAGGGTCACCCTGAGAGTCTGAGCTAATACCTAGGCTCCATCCCCTCTACACATACTGCTTTTATACTAGAACTGAAGCACCAGCAGTTCCTGAGACTCAAGCTGGCTGCCCATCTGATATTGATAGACTATGACTGCACCATTCGCCACCCCTGGAAGACTTGCTTGATGATAGCAGCTCTTAGAACTTGGTTACCTCTATAAATATGTGAGCCAATGTCTTAAACACACACATACTTTCTCTCTCTTTCTCCATGTAAGAACACCTTATACACATGTAGACACACACACACACACACACATACACACACACACACACACACACACGTATATACATATATCTATGTACATAGGAGGCATATCTAGTGCATGGTACCAGTCCTATATTCAAATATAAAGTTCCAAAGTAAGCAAGCTTGTGTTGTTTCATGTGTAAAATAATGAAGGTATTTGTTGGTAGCTTGGGTAGTTGATTGTTATTATTATCAAAAGTTCTGTAGTTCTAATTTGTTAATCTGAAAAAAATCTTCATTAGGCATTGAAACGGTTTTCTGTCTTGAGAAAGCCAAAGGCATTACACAACTTTATTGTTAGATTTTCCTGATGAGAATCAGCCTTTCAATATAAGGAAATCCCTTACTTAATATTCTAAGAATATACTGTTGAAGCTGACCTGAGCTAGTGGGAGCTCACTGACTCTGGACTGACAGCGGGGGAACCTGCATAGGCCCAAACTAGGTCCTCTGAATGTGGGTGACAGTTGTATGGGGCCACTGGCAGTGGGACCAGGATATATCCTTAGTGCTTGAACTGGTTTTTTGGAGATCATTTCATTAGAGTGATACCTTGTTCAGCTTAGATATGGGAGCAGGGTTTGGTCCTACTTCAGAGTGATCTGCCAGACTTTGTTGACTCCCCACGGGAAGCCTTACCCTCTCTGAGAAGTGCAGGGGGGGATGGTGTGGGTGGGAGGAGTGAGGGGGGAGTGGGAGGAGGGGAGGGAGTGGGAACTGGAATTGGTATATAAAATGAGAAAAGATTGTTTTAAAAAATAAATGAATAACTAAAAATAGACTGAACCAATATAAAAAGACCCAACAATATGCTGTTTATATGAGACAAACTCACTTTAAATAAACACACAATGACTAATATATATTATTACAACTATATATAAGTATATAAATATATTTTAGTCATTGTGTATATATACATATATATATGTATATATGTGTGTATATACTTATGTGTGTGTGTGTGTGTGTGTGTGTGTATACTGTTGAATTTGATTTGCTAGGATTATATATCTATGTTCCTAAGTGGAAACAGCTACAGTGTCTCAGAATTAAGACCACAATCACTCCAAAATATGTATATGCCTTTGTCTTTTTCCCTCTTCAGTTTGTTGAGACAAGATAAATTAAGATCGACTCTAACACTGTAGAGTCACAGAAGAGCTAAACATGGCAGCACACCTAGAATCATGGCACATGGGGAACTGAGACAGTAGCATCATGAGTTCCAGACAAGTTTGGGTTACATAGCGAGACCTTGTAATACACACACACACACACACACACACACACACACACACACACACGTTCACCTACAAAATTGAATGAGTCTACATGCTGAATAATTCTTTGGTCAGCTTTAAAATATATAATTAAATAATAATGATCTGTCAAGTCTTCCATTACACCTATATTTGGTCTCATTTTAATATCAGATTTTGTTTCTTGTCATGTTTATCTTTTACCTTGATCCCATGAGATTCATCTATCTTGAGATTTTCTTTATGTTTAGGTTAATTTACTTTTCTTTCTTCACTTTACACATTGTATTTATTTTTAATTAGTTCCTTATTTTTATCTTTTGTTCTTTTACAAATTTTGCAAATTCATTTTTGTCATTATATTGCTTGTGAATAAGAAAAGACTGTAATAATTTAATAATTACGGTTTCTCTAAGACTTATTAAGGTGGAAAATATACATAACTTGTTTGTATATGTGTGCATGCATATAGAGTTAAAATGTCAAAATTGATTGACTTCTCCTTAGTCATTTTCCACTTAATTTTTGAGGCAGCGTCTTAACAAACCTGCAGCTTACTTCCTGGGCTAAGCTTACTGACCAATGAGCTCCAGGACCTGCCTGTTTCTACACAGAACTGGAGCTGCAGATATGCGCTACTACGGCCAACCTTTTCATGGGTATTGGGGATTTGAACTTAGGTCCTCACACTTGTATGACAAACACTTTACCTACTGAGCCATCTGACCAGCCTCATTCTCATATTGTCAACAAATGATCTCATTAATCACTTGGACACATGATGAGCATCCAAAACAGTTTAGAACTAGATTTCCTATGACTCACATAGCTTCTAAAGGGACAAGACCTCTGGATGACATCTGACACCTGACTGGTTAGGGGCCTGCATCAACCTAACTGGAAGGAAACCATAGGGCTATAACAATGTGTGTGTGTGTGTGTGTGTGTGTGTGTGTGTGTGTGTGTGTGTGCGTGTGCGTGTGTGTGTGTGTGTGATGGGTGTGTGTATTTGTCATTTACATATGCATCAGCAGTGCATGTGGAGGTCAGAGGAGAACTTCAGGTCTTCTCCTCAGGCGCTATCCTGCCTTTTCATTTTTTGAGAGAGGCTGCTTTACTGGCCTGGGAGCTAGCATAGGACCTAGCAAGCAGGCTAAGCTGGTGCCAGGAAGCAGCAGGGATCCACTTTTCTCCACCCTTCACCACTGGAATACCAACTGTGCACACCCATGTTGAACTTTTTCTAAGGCTTTGATGGTTAAGATTGATGGTCAGCGCATCAGGAGCCAGGATCTAGAATCACCTTGGAGACAGGCTTCTGGGCACATTGTAAGAGACTGTTTAGCTTAGTTTAGCCTAGCATTTCTCTCTTTATTTCCTGACTGAGGATGCAATATGACCAGTGTCTTCATGCTCCTGCCACCATGCCTTCTGTATCATGGCACCTAATAACCGGGAGCCAAACTCCTCCTTCCTCTTCTGAGGTTGCCTTTTTTTTTCCAGGTAGTTTGTCACAATGCTAAGACAACTAAATAATACATTGATTCCAGAAATCGAACTCATATCCTTGTGCATGTAAGGCAAGGGGTCTATCAAGTGAGCTAATACCAGAAATCCCCTTCCTTGTTTGTACTTTTCCCTAAATAACTTGATAACTACATAAGACACTATTATTTTGCCGCCATCTATTCTCTGGTCATCAGTAGTGTTAGATTTAAGGGTATTTTTGTATCTTCTTCAGTTTGGTCCCATTATCATTACAGTGGTTTGTTTTCTGCTCTATGTCAGCAAAATTTTTTCAGTAATAACCCACTATGCGAATTATCACAAATTTCCACTTATAATACACAGCCAAACTGACTGAAGGAAAAGCAAGATTAAACTAGTTATTGTCTGTAGGAAACACACTCCACTGGCAAAGAGACTCACAGAGAGAGAATGGAAGGGTAATCAACACACCAAACAAACGGGAGTCAACAATAGGGAAGGCCGTGCTTGTAGGATGACGTAAGCGTCAAGCCAAGGTTAGTCACAAGGGATAATGAAAGGCGCTACGTGCATTTTGTTTGCTAATAAAAAAATCATTAAAAACAAAATTTAAAAACAGTGATGGTGACTTTCTTCTTGGCTTTGGCAGTTGTAATTTACTTTCAACCAGTTGCTAAAACCATGCAGAGCATAGAAGAGAGTTAATTCTGACAGTTGCGAACATTTTTAAACACGTGCAAATAGTGTTAAATGGAAACCTGCTACTGCAGTTAGTGTTGGCCATTTGTAATTACAATCCTAACTTATGAGCAAAAGAGTGTACATTTTCTGATTCAATGTCATGTTCCCTTTCATAATGAATTCTATGTATATACTGTAATATATCAGTATTACATACTGATTAATACTGTAATATATCAGTATTCAGTGTTTCAATATGAAGAACAGGCTTGCTATATTTTTTTAGCTTCTCTAATCAGGTTGGACCCATGGCAATATTGTCCCTTAAGGTAAAGTGTAGCTACATTATTTTTCTGTTTTGTTTCTTTAAAACAACTAGAGAAACCAAATCAAAAGAACTTTATTACAGAAGTGGAAAACAATACATTAAGTCTCTTTTCAGTCTCTTGGTAATCATTTTTTAATTCTTTTTTAATTGAATTTTATTGAGTTCTACACTTTTTCTGCTCCCCTCCCTGTATCTCCCATCCCCTCCAACCCTCTCCCATGATCCTATGTTCCCAATTTACTCAGGAGATACTGTCATTTTCTACTTCCCATATAGATTAGATCTATGTATGTCTCTCTTAGGGCCCTCATTGTTATCTAGGTTCTCTGGAATTGTGATTCGTGGGCTAATTTTCTTTACTTTATGTTTAAAAACCACCTATGAGTGAGTACGTGTGATAATTGTCTTTCTGTGTCTGGATTACCTCACCCAAAATGATGTTTTCTAGCTTCATCCATTTCTCTGAAAAACTCAAGATGTCATTTCTTTTCTGCTGTGTGGTTCTCCATTGTGTAATGTACCACATTTTCCTTATCCATTCTTCAGTTGAAGGGCATTTAGGTTGCTTCCAGGTTCTGGCTATGTCAAACAATGCTGCTATGAACATAGTTGAGCACATGTCCTTGTGGTATTCAAAAATAAAGCTAGCATTGCTGAATTTTTAGCATTAAGCCCATTTATATCAAATTTCAACTCTTTGTCCAAAGCCTTCTAGTGAAGTTTAAATTATTTTTCATGGAAAGAAGAAGATTCCAGAAACATTAACTATATAGATATTCTTACACTGGAAAACAAAACCCAAAATTTATCACACTGTAAGTCACTAGGTGGCTAACATGCTGCAGATTATCAATATCAAACTTGGTTGGCTACCTGTTCAATAATTGTAGTAAAAGGAACGGCGGGTTGCTTCCCACCGCCTGGCTAGCTTTACCCGAAATAATTATACGGAAACTGTATTCTTTTAAACACTGCTTGGCCCATTATCTGTAGCCTCTTATTGGCTAACTCTTACATATTGATCTAACCCATTTCTAATAATCTGTGTAGCACCACGAGGTGGTGGCTTACCAGGAGGATTCTAACCTGCGGCTGTCTCAGAGAGGAGAGTCATGGCGTCTGTCTACCTCTGCTTTCTTTCTCCCACAATTCTGTTCTGTCTACTCCACCCACCTAAGGGCTGACCTATCAAAAAGGCCAAGGCAGTCTCTTTATTAACCAATGAAAGTAACAATAGACAGATAACCCTCCTCCATCAAATAATCATTAAGGAATTATTTACATGTCATAATAACCTAGAAACTCTGCCCTTTAAAATACTTTCCTGCCTTTTTGTTTCAATCTTTGGTACCCCTGAAAAAGGCATTTCATTTTTCTTCACGTGAACTTACGACTTCATTAGACATGCTGAAGAGATGGTAAACAGAAACACTGATCTCGCAATGCATTTCCTCAACAAGATGCAAAGAAACTGTTACTAACGCTGAAGGAGCAAGAAGCGTTCCTTCACGCTACAGTTATACAGAACTTTCCACGGATGGCTATTGGATCCCAGATAATTAGAGACCTTTGCATTTGTGAGGGTATGGGGACAGTGAACTGGTGAGATGACTCATCTTGCAAAGCCAGGTGATCTGAATTTGATTTCCGGGATTTACATGGTAAGAAAAAGAGAACTGATTTCCACAGGTTGCTTGGGAAACTTCTATCACGTGGTATACTTGCTACCTGGAATAGCCTTTTGGAAGGCTGATAGCGCATGATTGGAATTGAATGGTAGAGTCCTAGAATATGGTCCTTATTGTTCTTGATGGGTTCTAACAATCAGTTTAAAAAAAGGAGCTATTTATAATCTGACTCCATCACATCCATTGTCATGGTTTGGCTATGAAATCGACAGGCTTACTTGTTAAAAAGCTCTGTCCCCACTTGTTGGCACTACTCAGGATCCGGTGGATATCAAGAGATAGGGTCTGAGCAGCAGGCCACTGGGGACATGCCCTGGGAAAATACACCTTTATTTCCACACCTCTGCTCCCCCCCCCATTTCCTGGCTTTCACGAGGTTAGCAGTCATGCCTTGCTCTTCCATGAGATTCTCCCTCACATTTGGACAGACACCTTGTTACCATCAAGACACTGCTAGAAACCTGAGCCCCAATAAGCCCTTCCCTGAAGCTCTTTCAGGAATTTGTCACAGTGGTAAAAAATTAACAGTGCAGAAGAGAAGAGTCTCAAATCTTGCCTCTAGTTTAGTCATGCCATTACTTTCGTATTGTTGCTAAGCATCCTTTAATTTGGCCAGTCCCTTTCTCACAGCAAGTGTCTCTTCAATGAACCAACTGTGCTCATTAAAGTTGATGTAAACTCCATATCATCCGCTGTAAAACCTAATGACAAGCACACTTTGGACACGGTGACTCCTGGTGTGTTTACAGAGTTGGGACTTAGCTGTGGCTGTCAGAAATGAGCCCCAAAACAAATTCTTTCCTCCAGAGAAACCAGGTCACTTTATATTTGATTTCTAAGCAGAAGAACCCATGCATTTGCCACAACTTCTGCATTTAATAGTGTGTGTGTGTGTGTGTGTGTGTGTGTTAGTAGTCATGTCCTAAGCATATCACTGAAAGTGTATAGTAACTTCCCTTCTTAGTTATAGACTCATTCCAAAGTTCCAAACAGTCATCTTTAATATATTCTGATGCTAATTTAGTGGTTACACTAACTGTTAATGTGATTCACAATCTATTATTTGAGACCCCTTTCAGGTCACGTAACAGATATCTTACATATCAGATATTTACATTACGATGCATAACACTAGCAAAATCACAGTTGTGAAGCATCAACAAAATAATTTCATGGTTTGGGCTCACCACAACATGATTTGTATTAAAGGGTCGCAGCATTAGGAAGATTAAGAACCACTGTTAATGTGTTATCATTGAAGTGTGTTGATGCAGATGTGAATTCGGTGATAAGTATTTAAACAATTAAGTCAGTGTGTGCATTTGTTTCTGTTTCTTTCAGCAGCATGAAATGTCACTTTATAAGAGACAAAGCCCTAGTACTTAGACATAATGTGTTTACAAATAAGAATACTATTTGAGCATATACCTAGACACTGATATAATATAGAGATGGTATTTGAACACATGCCCATTTAATGAACCTTCTTCAAAATGTTTTTTGACTTAATAAAATACTCTTCAGCCTAGTTTCTGACATCCAATGGTACTTCCTTTGTAGCAGTTTTACCCTGCTATCAACCAAGGAGTCTCTGTAATGCTACACCTTAACCCCAGCTACGGCCACAGGAAACAATCCAGTCCATTTATAAGTCAAAAGGATATTAACTCATGGGGCCTTCAACGTTTAGCACGTCTTCCACTGTCACCATTTATTTTACAACTACTGCCAAATTCAGAAGAGAAGCCTCTTCGTAAAACGCAGTGAAACCTTAGCAGTCTGCGCTTTTCCTTCACCACTAATGCTGCTGAACCCGGACTGCAACCAAGGCTTCACTAAAGTTTAAACTGGGGATAAAAACAGAAACAAAAAAATGTATATTGCTAAATTCAAAATGCTACATGTTATAGCATGATCCTAGAATGTATGCAGGCCCAGCATCATGAGTGTCTAGCCTGTGTGTTTACACAAGGCCACATACTTAATGGAAGCTCTTGGTTAGTGCATTGGTATAATATATTTCTGCTACCATCTTGGGATTCTAAATAATTTTGAGCAAGGGACCCACATTTGGGGGGTCTACTTCACATCCCTAATTATATATCCATCCTTCCCAGGGTGAGACTGTCAACTCAAGTCACATGAAGTCACTTGAGTTTAATCACACCCACAGGGGTCTCTGTTTTGTCCCACAAGACCGGTCTATTTATACAAGGATGGATAGCATGCCAATGCCAAATTGCCCTCCAAGCCTTAAATCCCTGCTCTCTGTTCTTAGGTCTGATCACAGACTCTTAGATACTAGTCACAGTTTGGCCAGCAGCCTCTCTCAAACAATGTTAATGACCAAACAAATGAAGAAATAAGTGAACCCATTCTGATATTAGAGCAAAAGTTCTCTGAAATGATGCGGGGAGGATCTTCCACTCATGCATTCTTTTGTTATGGTTGTCACAAACTGTACAAAGAACAGAGAAAAATTCCAACAATAAGTATTTGGTCAAGGAGAAAGAATTACAATAATCTCAACTAAAAACAGGGTGAGTCACAGAAGAATCAGAAAGGGTGTGCTGATTTCAGGATGAGTTAGGCTCCATCTTGCCCTGTGTATCAAGGCTTGGACACTCTCCCCCTGCACTTGGTATTCTCCGTAGCAGCAGGGCTCAGGCCAAACAGAAAGCAGGCTTCCCATGTGCGCTGAAGCTATGATGAAGACTTGAAATTTAACCGAATTACCACGACATGGGGGAAATTGCCACTGTCTCTGGGCATGAATGGATTTACTTAAATTAAGACTAGCCATAGTTGAAGCTTCAAAGCTATGACAGAGCACTTCCCATTGGTGACATCTCACAGGAGGGAAAACAGAAACCTTTCACTTAAGTCACTGAAACTTCAGCTAATGAGGAAACACAGAGAGTACCCTTGTTGTTCAATGATGTGGCGTTTACACGGCCCAGAGGAGCCTGGAGAGGTTAAGTGGCTTGTCTGGGGTCAGCAACTAATGAGACGCAGATCTGGGGCTCAGCTGGGCCTCTAGCCTCAGGTCCAGGACCATTCTTTTCCCAGATAGTTAAGGAAAAAAAATACTGTCTATCTTCCTCAAAGAGCTGTCACCCTAAAGTACCAGCCTAGATCCCAAATTCTCTGCTATTTGGACTAAAAATCAGAAACCCGAAAATTCAGACAAGTTTTGGCCCTAGTTTAGGAGAGAGAGTCTTATAAAATGGCTTTCTCACACTCCAGGACTTGCAGTATCATCAAAGGTCCTCCTAAGGTTCAGGCTGCGGACTTCGACCAGATTTCCCTGCAGCAGTGACATGCCAATCAGTGCTTCTAACAAGTTCACAGGCATTGCTGCTATTGACGGTTAGGGATCATTTTGGCAAAGTAAAGCCCTACATGGCCTCTAATTGATACAAGGAATTTCGAGTGCTAGTCCTGGCCTTGGAAACTTGAGAATTGATATTTGGGGGGGGCACACAAACAATTAAAATAAAACAACAACAATGAAGAAAACCAAGAGAAGTAGTTCCTGTTTATAACCCAGATTCCTGACTTGCTTTCTTTTCTTTTCATTTATTTAATTAATTAATTTAGAGGAAAAAGTCAAGTCCTGATCCTCATTACCACAAATTATGCCATTGAGTTTCCCCTATTTGGAGAAATTGCAAGAGTCAGCGTGCCCGGGGTACCCGGGTATCTCCCCTCCCAGGCAAGCATCAGAGAGTTTATTTTGAAGTGAATATGAGGAGAATTCAAAATTAGAGGTACACCATACACAGCAATGTACACAGTTTGATTGGGGCTCATATAGATGGTCCATCTGAACCCTAAAATCTGTGACGCTAAGATGCCATCCAAGGGAAGACATACTGTGGACTCTAAAACACAGACTTTGTCCTTCGTTCTCTCCACCTTCCTCCTTATTTGGTACTGCTGACCAATACACAGAATCAAGCCAAGGCAGGGGCCACCTGGAAGTGAAGCAACAGTTAGTAAGGACTCACAAAATAAAATGACAGAAACAAAAGTCACGTGGGGAGCATACTCTATGCCATTTTTAAAAATCAGGAGAAGAAATTGGAGAAATGGGGCAGCAAAGTGGAGACAATCTATGCATAGGTGTAAGGAGGTAGAGTTCTGGAATGCAAAGGAAGGAAAACCATGAAATCCTCATGGAGACATCAAGCCTGTTTGACTGACACCTCATTGGAAAACCAAGGAAGGACATAGGGAATCTTCAGGGGATGAAATGGGGGAAAGTTGCAAACAGGAAAATATTTGCAAAGGAGAAAAATGCAGAGGCCCAAGGCAGGGGATAAGCTAGAATTGCAGAATTATGACATTTTCCATTGTAAATTTTGCCTTTAGGAGGCAGAAACTGAGACAAGGTGCTGTGCTCAAGTTGTTTCGGGAAATGACTCCAGGAAGTGAGAGAAGATGACTG